CGGTAAATCCGATCACGATCCTTTACAACATTTGGCCGACACCAACGCGCATCATCGCAACCACTCAGCACTTTCTTCCTCTTCACTAAATTGAAGGGCTTCTAGGGAAACTATTTTCTTGCGGACCGCGTTGCGGTCGGACTTCACTGTTCTTCTCCTTCTTTTTCTCTTTTAACCCCTACTACGAGAAGATGAAACACCTATGTGGCACTCACTCTCCTACTATCGGTTGTCGCTGCATTAAAACCGCTGCCGCTCTCTTTCACCGTTTTCTTTTTGCTTCTCTTTCTACTCTCTTCGTCTCACAGAATTTCACCACCGCTTTACTCTGTATTCCTTTAGGGTGCTCACTCACACACTACTGTTTGCCGCTATATGTTTGGCTTTTTATTTTCCCCGCACTATCAGCTTCTTCTTTTTTTTTTCCCCTTTCCTGCCTTCTCGCACTCGAAATTATCGCTACCGTTCGGCGTGGAATCCACAATTTCCACTCTTAAACGCAACTACCCTTGCGCTCCCCTCACACACATATGCACACTGGGCCTCTCCGCATAGACCCTTCGCCCCTTCAGCAGCAATTCTGCCAAAAGCAGTCTCAATCACGCTTTTTCTTTCTTCTTCTATCACCGCCACCAATTGAAACCGTCACACAAGTTATAGCGCATCACCTGCGGATGTTAACCGCCACCTTATCTTCGTATCACCAACAATCAATACGAAACTAACGATTTTAAATTGGCTCACCACTTTAGTAGCCTATTGGTCCCAAGCAAACGATTAACGTACCCTATTCTAGTTGAAATTCTATTACTACACTATGTTTGTTTTGATTCGCTATGAAAGTTTGACAGATAACATCAGGGGTGTGTGGATTCATGCAGAACATGCAGGGGTGAGTGAAATAGCTTGGGACTGCTTGGGACCGTTGTTCTGGTACTGAGTGAGCCAAAAATAATAATGATTTTCTTCGGGACCCAGTGGTCTTAGAGTTACCTCTATGGTGATAGGCTGCCAAAGCAGCCCACGGTTCGGTACACGGTCAATTGCACCTACCATGATCTCGTTGATTACGATGAGAAACAATAGCGGTGATAGTATACATCCTTGTCTCACACCAGCGACTACCCGGATAGGGTCGGACAAGGCTCCATTATGCAGAACTCTGGCACGTGAAAGCCTCATACTGCGCTTCGATGAGGTTGACGATTTTATCCGGGACTCCCTTGCGTCTCAGGGCGCCCCATAGATTCTCGTGATTGAGACGGTCGAAAGCTTTTTCGTAGTCAATGAATACCAAATAAAGGTACTCTTAGAATTCATTGACCTGCTCCAGGATGATGCGGAGCGTGACAATATGGTCCACACAAGATCTTCCGGCACGGAATCCTGCCTGCTGCCGTCGGAGAGTCGCGTCGATCTTCTCCTGTATCCGATTCAGGATAACTTTGCACAGAACTTTGAGAACAATACACAGTAACATGATGCCTCGCCAATTGTCGCACACAGTCAGATCCCCCTTCTTTGGGACCTTCACTAAGATGCCCTGCATCCAGTCGGCCGGAAAAGTTGCGGTGTCCCAGATATTACAGAATAGTTGATGCTATATTTGTGCGGATAGCATGGGGTCAGCTTTGAGCATCTCTGCTGATATGCGATCGACCCCTGGAGCCTTGTTAGTTGTTCGAAGTGCTCAAACTGGTCAGTGGGGTCGGTAAGCAATTGTCCAGTCGTGTCCTTCACTGGCATCCTCGGGTTCATCCTTGCTCCACTCAGGCGTCGTGAGATATCGTAGAGGAGGCGTATATCGCCAGTGTTTGCGGCTTTCTCCCCTTCGTCGGCCAGGGAGTTCACCCACGCTCGTTTGTCCCGTCTGCAAGAGCGCTTGACTTCCTTCTCTAGAGCCGAGTACCGTTGACGGGCTTCGTTCTTGACTCATCTGGTTCTCGTCCGCTCTATCGCGGCTTTTGCTTCTCTACGGTCCTAAATCTTCCACCAGGTTTCATCTATGATCCACTCTTTCCTTTGGACGACCCAGCTCACCCAAATTGTTCTCGCTTGTTTCTTTAAAGGCATTCTTGATGGTCGTCCATTGTTCTTCTACGCTGCCACCTTCTGGAACGTCCGCAGCTCGAGTCTCAAGTTCTTCAACAAAAGACCTTTTTCCCGTAGGATCTTCAAGTCGGTGTGTGTGTTGAACCGCCGCCCAAGTCTCTCCTCCCGTCGCTGGATCCGCGCCATGCATAGGCGGATTTTGCCGATTAGAAGGTGATGGTTAGACGCGATGTCGGCGCTGCGTTTATTCCGGACATCAAGAAGGCTCCGTCTCCATTTTCGGCTGATGCAGATGTGGTCGATCTGATTTTCGGTATGTCCATCACGGGAAACCTACGTGACTTTGTGCACTGGCCGATGGGGGAAGAGCGAGCCCCCGATCACCATGTCGTTATTGCCACAAAATTCTGCAAACAGCTCACCGTTTTCGCTCATTTCGCCGAGACCATGGCGTCCCATGACACGCTCATAGTCCGTGTTGTCGGAGCCGATCTTCGCATTGAAGTCGCCAGTGTAGATCTTGATGCCACGACGGCATTCAGTTGACTGTAAAAATTCTCCTTGTCCTGTAGCTCGGCAGCATCGGTTGGCGCATAACTTTGGATTATGGTAAGGTTACGAACCCGTGTTCTAAATCTGGCCACGATTATCCTCTCATTAACAGGCTCCCACTTGATGAGCGCAGCACTTGCCTGGACGCTAAGTAGGAGACCAACTCCACGATGGCGGGGGAGCGTTTTCACCTCGAATACCAGAGTATAGTAGTACCTGTCCCGACGGCAGTTTGTGTTCTCCAAAGTTTGGCCAACGAACTTCACTCAGTCCCAGGATTTCTAGCTTCATGCGTCGCGCCTCGTTGGCGAGTTGTGCCAGTTAACCTTGCTGGGCTAACGTCAATACATTCCATGATCCAATTCGTGTCCGTTGTTTTGCGCTAAAAGTCGTTGCCGTTAAATCAGTTCGATGTCTTTCTCTGTTGGTTTCTGTAACAATTGTAAAGGTTTCAGAGACAGTAGGTGGTTGGCCTAAGGTCTCCTATCCGCCGTGATGGGGCTGCCATCTTAGGTGTAGTTTCCGGGGAAGAGCATTTCTTATTCAGCCGCTGGATGCCAGTCAGACGCTGTTTGAGCCGCACCTCCATGGTGAACAGACGCTCGGGTTGGCGAAGCATTTCCTCTATCACCGTGCTATGGTTACCGCGCCAGCGTTCGCGTCGCACCTCCTCACTTTGCTATTGTCGGATTGACAACATTGCCCAGGCTACGCCAACCAGCTGTGTCCATGTTTCGGCTGGCAGTCTTTTGTGATCATATGACTCGTGGAGGCGTGAGGTAGGAACTTGTGAGGACCGGAGCTAGGTATATCGCTCCTTCCAGATTGTCACTCACCATTTTGTAACCCATGTTGTAAGTGGACAACACTGCCTATAATCCGAAGGGGGTGACTCTATCTACGATACAGGAAATATTTTTTGTTTCTGTGTTGAGTAGATTGAAAAAGATTGATGACAATTCTGAAGATTTCCTGCAAAAAGATGATGCACGATGCAATTAGATGCGAGAAATGAAAGAATATTTTTTGTAGATTGATTTGCTAGTGTGAGATTTTTCGAAGATCTAGAATTGAGATTAAGATGTGACGTCCCCTCGCTATAATCCCATATCAGTCCCATATGGAAAAAGTAGGCATGGAGAAACTGACAGTTGAAGTTACGAAGTGCAATTCGCATGTTAATATTTGAAAAATCATAGTGATATATTTGATTTTTTTTTTCAAGTTAGAGTCAGTTGCAATGAAGTCTGCATAATTTTGTATATCAGCAAAAAATATGGCGATTCAAAAAACAGAGCTGTAACTTGACTTCTGGACGATTGAATCTCAGGGTGCGATTACTTTGATTGATGGGACATACTGACTTGATGTTGTTCTCACATTTTTCATGATCAAAGTCCGTAGTTTTATCACGTGTTATGAAAGTACATGGCAATTGATAGTGGATAGTGTTATTATCTTAAATTTGACGAATATCCATATGGAACTGATATGCGATTATAGGCAGTAACACTCCCTTCCTAAATATTGGGAAACTTTTAGTAAAATGTAGAACGTAAAACAGTAATCAGCACCTATCTTGAAGATTCCTATGACGAAACAAAACATCCAATATTCCTAAATATTTTTTTCCGGAAATCAAACTCTTGAAAAAAATGAATTTACAGATAAGAATCAGTTTCAGAAATATTGTAGACTTTAAAAAATAGCTATAAATATGATTTCAATTTTTTTCATCATGATTTTAAGGTTAAGGTGTTCAAATAGAATCTAAATCGATGTAAAGCTGATAAACTCTACGTGACAATTCTCTATCATAATAAAAAAAAAAACAACGTAAGAAGGGATCAACCCCCACTCTCCCTCCGAAACTATTTTGTAAGATTTTACAAGACTCCTTCTTCCTCCTTTTCCCTTACGTAATTAGTGCACAGTCCCTTGGCGTATTCTCAATGTAGATGGGCTTCGGCTACACTGAAAAAAGTTTTCATATAGTTTCCATTGGGAACGCACATGATATTTTTCCAATAACAAAATTAATGATTTTTATCTGAAATTCACATAACGTTCATACGATCACATGAATTGTATGTGATAAATCACATAAACTTCATTGAGCACATAAAGTTCATGTGATTTTGTGGTTCGATTCCCAATTATGAGATCACATGAAAGTCATGTGAAATTCTAATGGATATTTTCCATTGGAAATGTGATTTATTTTTTGAGTGTAGGATATTAGCAGAGAATATCAAAATATCAATTTTCGTAAATAGTGAAAACTGCAATTACTGCAGATGACTGCAAATGATCTCAGGGCTAATGTAACACAATCTATAAATGCTCCTAATCGTATAATTAAAGTACATTGTGATATTGAATAACAACTTCCAACGCTATCTTCATAAGTAGTTTATTTTTAAAGTACGAGTATACCTGTTTTTGTCATATCCATCATTAAATTATGCTGCCATAACTGATATCGTTTTCCTATTTTTCTAATCCTTTTTCCCTCCAACCTTTCTCAAAATATAGTGCGCTTACCAAACATTCCCACACTCAGATCGAATCACATATGATGCTATATATCTACGGGCTGCTACCATCTTTCAAATTGCAGCTTCGAAGCACAAAAATGCTTCCGATTCGCTGCTCCATTGCCGAACATTTCGAATTTCAAATCTCCACTTTTTTTTTCCAAAGGCATTTCTTACTAACTTTTTTTTTCTATCGGATTTTTTTAACGAGATAAACGAGGCTACCAATTTTTGTCATGCAAGAAAATTCACCCTGTTCCGAATTAGTGTGACCTACTAGGTCGTTGGTTTCTTTGTTTTTATTTTTCAACTTGAAATTCTATCCCCTAGAGCCGTGTGCTAAACGTGTGTGAGTCGTGTTTGGTTCTGTTTTTGCTTCGTTTGTTTTTTTTAATAGCTAAATTGTAGCTTTTTTTTCGATCATGCTTAGGTTTACTAAAAAACAGTAAATACGCTAAAGTTTTCTCAATTAAAAACAAATTTCTTCTCATTGTATGCGTCCAATGAAGCGCAATAATTTTGTATCTCTTTCTTTCGGATGCTTTTGTTGCACGTGTCACATTTTGGTTTTGTATTTTACTACTTTGAATTTGTGGAGTTCACGGAGACATTGCTCAGTGTTAGCATTTTTTGTTAGACAATACATGCTTTTTGTGTTAATATTTTTTTTGCTCCATTTTCGAAATAGATTTCGCTATTGCTAGAATGTAACGTACATGAAACACTTTTACGTTCGGTTAATTATTAGATTGCGCTATAAGAGTATAGTGTAATAAATGCTTTCCTTTTACTATTGTTTATCGGTTTTTTTTTCTGTTGTTGCACTTTTGTAATAGAGATTTTGATTTTAAATATAATTCAAACACAACATCAAATGCATGGGCTAGTACTTTATAAGAAAATTTGTACAACATCATTTATGCTGGTTTGCGTACGCGGAATGAATGATAGATTAACTTATGCAGACAGACATACGAAAGTGGCACAAGACACAAACAACATTAGACAGCTTTTGTTACAGAAATGAAGTTAGTTTTTTTTTGTATTCTTTCAATATTGCGCACAGTTTTGTCATTTTGTCATGCTAACAATTACCTACAACACTGGTAGTTGATTATATCATCAGGATTTAAGTTTAACTTTCCTAAAACTGGATTTAACTTTACGGTTCAGACTTTAAAAGACCCAATAAGATAAAAATTAGGTACAAATTTGCACTTTTTGTTGGCCTAATTAAATGTTTGTCCTATAATTTGTTTCTGTCATATTTTTCTTTCACTTACCTAAGAATTGCTAGATAGTTTCATCCTAATCCTAGTACCACTTTTACAGAGAATAAAAATTAAAAACCGAAACACATACTGACTGCTACACAAACGTTGTTGTCCGTAATACCGTTTTTTTTTTTATTATACCACTGTGTTGCACTTATAGAATAAGAAAATTAGAACAAAACTAACAGATTCATTCGAGTACCACATCCTAGTTTCGATATCATATATCCGGTTCGACGAAGGACGCCGGGAACAGGCCGGTTTTACCGGAGCGTTGGTGGGTGCCTTTGTACCAGCCGTTATCACGCTTTTTGTGCACCAGCACGATGTCGCCGATGCGCAGTTCCAGCTCGTACTCGCTGTTGGGTGGATACGGGACGATGCATTTGAACCTGAAGGTAGGGATGCAGGGATTAGTTAATGTCGTTATGATGGTCTGCAGCCTAGCCGAAGTGTCGGAGGAATTTTTTTTTTTCGGTTTAAAATTCTTCTTTTCACGCTCTCAAATTTGAAATGGTGGGTTTTACACTTGACATGCCTAAACCCTTGACCACCTTAAATATCATACTGCCACCATTACGTCAATTATCAATGGATATGGATGAATAAAGCTTCAATCGATCAGTGATCGTGACTAGTTTCAACTAGTGCAAAGTATGAGTATATTTTCCGTTTTAATTTCAAAACATCTTCTTGTCATGGAGTCAGGGTTGCAAAACACGGAGAGTGGAGTTTTCGCCTAGCCTTCGCCAGCTTATATTTGTATAGAACTATTGAGAATATATGTGGAAATTCAATTTTAATTAAAATTCTCAATAATTATACACATTGTACGACATATTATGTCTACATAATGTCGCCATAATTACTACAAGGAATAAAATGCAGAAATTTGTTCATAGAAAGATATGATATTCACAAACAAACAGACATAATTCTTGCATGCTTTTCATCGAACACGCATTTAACGGTCAATTTTAATTTATTGGTTGGTTGGTGGTACCGCAGCCTGTTGCGCACCTAGTCAATTTCATTGTATTTAACGTTTACACATTACCGCCTTCTATTGATGAATTTACGGAAAGGTATAACTGGCCATGCGACACCTAGTTTTCAGATTTGCAATGATTTGATGTACTAAACAATATTCCATACGATTTGACAGGTAGCAAAACGTCATTATCATTTTCACATCATTTCCATAACAACTGTAACGTAAATTCATCAATAATTGAACGTATTGTCCATGACAGTGTGCACAAAAGGTGGCGGTAGTATCAGTACTACCATAGAGGTAACTCTTAAGGGCCACCCACAATAGTCCGTCACCGTCAGCGTCAACTGACAGCTTGGTTTGAGCCAACGATATTCAGTTTAGCAACGCACAAAGATGCGTTGCGCTCACTGCGCGCCAGTACTAAAACGCTGACGCTGTGCTAAGCTTTGAAAATTGTTGCTTGCTTGTTCATGTTGCTTTTTCTCCACATCAGCGTAATCAGAAGTGTATTTAGTGTATAATAGAAGTGTGTAAGAAGGGCCAACCCCAATTCCCAAACCAATTTCAGTGTTTTTTTTTCAATAAAATACAACTAGTAAAATAGCTTTGTAGACAATTTAAACTATTGCAATGTTTTATAATATATCCTTTAACAATATTGTGTGAATACATGTTTGGCAAACACATTTCGGTTAGCGTATGCAGATCGTGTTGCATTTTTGCCTCTCTGAAGGGCCGCAGAGTTAATACATCTCAGAGGATCAATTACTATAATGTCTAGACTAACATTTGAAAAGGGCGTAATTCCAAAATGACCATATCGAGAAAATCGCTTCTGAATTTTGTTGACCTAAAAATTAATCCTATTTCACGACTTTCCATTTTCTGGTTGATTTTATAAGCTTGACATATAGTTAATAGTGTAATCTATCATCATGCCACCAAAAACTCAAAAAAAGTTTTCTTTGTCGTGAAATTGAGAAGAAAACATCATACGCCCTGATAATTTCATACATGTTGTTACCCCCCAGATCTTCCACCCTTTGAACTGCCAACACTGGTGATACGCCGTGGAAGTACACCCTCGGGATTTTTTGTTTGTTGTTCCGCCTTGGTTCTTCGTTCGCAAATTTTGTGAGAGTAGAATTACGCCCGAAGATTTTTTGGTGTTCTTTTTGTTCGTTGTTTACACGTGAACTATCAATCGGATGCATTTCAAATTAATCGGGCGTGACTAGATACTACAGAATCAAAACATTTGGCATATTAAAACGATATAATTCGTAGTTCTGGTGCAAGGCGTAACAACCAGATTCATCATAGAGTTGAAAGTTGGAAATACGCCATGTAAGAAGAAACGTTTTTGATGATTTGAAGTGATATTTTCTTCTACTTTTTCATGTTTATCGAGTAGTTTGTGAACTATTCTCTCTATGTGTGGCAACATATGGTTTGTTTACGTTTTGGCTCTTCCGCCCCTTTCAAATGTTAGTCTGGATGTACGCCATTCACCAGGTTCACTGACGTTCCCATCACCATCAAGCACGATCTATGAAGCATGGCGGGCAATAATCATTCGCTGAATTCCTCTTTACAAAATTGTGCAAAATGACACAAGCTTTCACAGTTTTGTCAACCGAGCCTGGAAGCATAACTAACGTGTTCTTCAAAACCCTCCACCTTGCCACTAGAATTCCACAGCTGTTTTCGATGGTCCTCCTGGCTCTGCACAGCCGTTGATTGAAGCTGTCTTGAATTGGAGGTAGATCAACACCTGGATATGGCCGGAGCAAGTTATCCTTAATAGGAAATGCTGCATCCCCAACAATGAAATACGGCATCACTTCATTTGAGCCTCGCAACTTGCCCGGTGTTGGCAAATCCAACTCACCATACACCAATGTATGTACATGTTCGGACTTTTTAAATTACTAAATCTTCTACCACAACAAATGATTAAAACGACATTATGCTACTGTCAAAACGCAACGCGTGACGTAAAGGGTGATACGGTCAAAATTTGGTCAAGGGAAAACGCGTGTAAATCGGTGAAATCGTTTATTTAAAAAATCAAATTAAATTTCTTTTTCAAGTTCAATTAGTATAAAATTCAGGAAAAATATTCAGTTAGGCTTCCGCTTTTCCAAATCCGAATTGCCGGGCCTTACGCTTGACCCCTGCCATCAGATTTTGTACAGCCACCTTGTCCACCTTCTTCGCCGCAGAAAGCCAGTTTGCCTTGAACTGCTGCTCGCCCTTAGCAGTTTTTTTGGTCTTCTTTAGGTTCCGCTTGACAATAGCCCAGTATTTCTCAATTGGGCGGAGCTCTGGCGTGTTGGGAGGGTTCTTGTCCTTGGGAACCACCTGCACGTTGTTGGCGGCGTACCACTCCATGGCCTTTTTACCGTAATGGCAAGATGCCAAATCCGGCCAAAACAGTACGGAACAACCGTGTTTCTTCAGGAAAGGCAGCAGACGTTTATTCAAACACTCTTTCACGTAAATTTCTTGGTTGACAGTCCCGGAAGCTATGAAAATGCTGCTTTTCAAGCCACAGGTACAGATGGCTTGCCAAACCAGATATTTCTTTGCGAACTTTGACAGTTTCATGTGCTTGAAAACATCTGTTACCTTTCCCCTTCCTTTTGCCGTATAAAACTCCTGTCCCGGAAGCTGCTTGTAGTCGGCTTTGACGTAGGTTTCGTCGTCCATTACCACGCAGTCAAACTTCGTCAGCATCGTCGTGTACAGCCTCCGGGATCGCGCTTTGGCCGTCGTATTTTGTTTATCATCGCGATTTGGAGTCACTACCTTCTTGTCAGTCGATAGTCCGGCTCGTTTTTTGGCTCGATGCACGGTTGTAGACGATACACCCAGCTTATTTGCGGCATCTCGGAGAGAGAGGTTAGGGTTTCGCTTGAAACTACCGGCAACTCTCTTTGTCGTCTCAGCGGCTTCCGGTTTTCGATTTCCCCCCGATCCAGACTTCCTGGCTGTCGACAAACGTTCCCCAAACACTTTAATTACATTTGTAACGGTTGATTTGGCAACTTTTAGCGATTTTGCCAACTTTGCGTGCGAGTAGCTCGGATTTTCGCGATGCGCGAGCAAAATTTTGATACGCTGCTCTTCTTGCTTGGACGGCATTTTGACAACTGAAGAGTGAATTCCAAAATCAAAATAGGAGCAATATTCTACACACACACACCTTCAAAATGAGGGGTGTTCAGGTTTTTTAAATGCAAAATTGAAAGAAATACGTCAAGTTGATATTGACCAAATTTTGACCGTATCACCCTTTATGATTGTGCGCAAGCGCTGCGTCAATGCGTCCGTCAGAATTTTTAGTACACGACCACAATTGCAGATTGAATAATTTTGAGCAACGCTCTGTAGAATATACCCTCCAATGTGGTATATTGTGGTTCCGTTAAGAGTTGTTAAAAATTGAGTCTGCAAATACTTCCATTGAATAGCAATACTACCGAAACGGTTAAAGAAGTATTAATTTTACCGTAATGATGAAGCAGACGAAAGTCGCTCAAATTAAAAGTCACTTGAAGTAAACACAAAATTGCGGGATGCCAAATCTTGCAGAAAAAGGAATTAGTTTACCGTGTAACAAGATTTACTTTTATTCTCTCCGCGCGTCTCTTATATAACATCGTCTCTGGTGCTGACTATGGCTTATATTAGAGTCGGTGTATAATGAGTCACGCCAAGAGTGAAGCCAAGTCTACCTATTGAACTGTCAAACCAGCTACCTATCGTGCAAAGTAAATAAACATTACGATGCTATCAAAGGTCCACGAAAGGTATTGCAATAAAATATAATATATAATCGAAGAAATGAGCATAAACACGCAGTGAGCGTTAAATTGTCATGGGATACGCTCGGTAATGATTAGTAATGAGAATTTCTACTATTTTTTGTTAAGATAACTTGACAAAATCACTGATATAATGATTTACTACAGCCGCAATATTTTTTCTCACGCTAGAAGTCATTTGAAGTTGTTGTAGAAGTCCTCTGTTGCCAAGTGAAAAGAATGGGAATCTTCCGAAAACCGTGATGCGAGTTCAACTGTTTTTCTCTTGGCGTGACTCATTATACACCGACTCTAGCTTATATCATGTAATATAGGCTGTCTTGCAATGAGCACTCATACATCTAGTTTTCACTGGAAATCATATGTATGAGTGCTCATTGCCAGACAGCAGACCCTCTTCACTCTTTGGAATTTATAGAGACAGATAAAACAGCGCCAATAGGTTTGTGACGATACAACGTTGAACTGCAACGTTGAAAGAAAACACGTACACCAACATCTATGCATGTACGAACCCACACCACTTAGCGGAGGGTACAGTGCAAATTAAAACACGAAGCGGTGTCATCACTCAGCTCTGGCAGCTTCGGTGGCGTTGACAAATATCTTCTTTATAAAATAGGAAAGTAATCATTATTCCAACGTAATTTTTGAATAGAATGCGTACAGCGTTGGCCAAGGAAAACGGAATATTTTATTACAAAGCAATGATTTCAATACGTTGCGTTTTTCGAAGTATACTTCTATGCTTATAAAGATTATGTTGAGCAACAGATTCACAAATCATCAATTTTCGATTACTTTTTCGTAGGGACGTATCTGCTATTGTAAACAATGCATCTTACTGAGACCGGTGGTTATATTGGAAACTCGTTCACTCGAAAGCAAAACATATTACAAGCCCAGCTTGGATGTGTCCTTGTATTCTCAAGCGTTTCTGTTGCGTATAACGTGGTAATGATTGAAAATCGATACAATCGTAACTAAGTGAGAATTTTGCTATCGAAATATAATGATGATGACATCGATCATCTTCTTCCCTCGGCTGGAATCTGTCATACTGACACCTGTCATTTATTAAGCCCTGGAGGTGAAGTTGGCGGGGGGACTCCCCACAGTTTCAATGTGCACTCACTAGATGTCACTGCGATCACATAAGGGTGGTGTATCCATTACCTTGTACGAGGAATTGATTAATGGGATATCTTGTTAATTATATATCTTTGAAGACAGCCTATATTAGATGATATAAGCCATAGTCTGTACGGGGTATAAGCAACCGGTGGAAACTAACGATTTTAAATTGGCTCACTACTTGACAACTTGACTAGCCTATTGATTCCAAGTGCATCTATAAGCGTACCCCATTCTAGTCGAAATTCTAGTACTACACTATGTTTGCTTTGATTCGCTATGAAAGATTGACAGATAAAATGAAGGGGTTCGTGGATTTCCCTATGTTTCGAGGGGTGAATCGATTAGCTTGGGACCGAAGAGAGTACCAGAGCTGGCCAAAAAGTTGAGCACCTTTCTTGGGGACCTTCTCTGCCGGCGGAAGCATAACTGTCCCATGTTACAAAACACAAAAATGAGAAAACTGCATTTAAAGATTGAACAGACGTTTTGCTGCTATCGTAAAATTTCACGAAAAAATTTGGTTGTGCTTAAAAAAACTGACGTAATACAACTATTCCATGGAAAGTTTGTCAAAATTTTGCATAAAAAATTTTTTTTTCCATCACAAAACCTTCTGTGACACTTTTGCTGCGAATTTCTCTGACGAGTTGAAAAATGTACGCATATCTGTCCCACTGTGAACAACTTCTCAGTTGCTGCTGTTGTTATGTTTGACACTTCGTGAGTGACGGTTGGAGTTTATTCTTTAAAATTGTTGATTTCAGTACCAACATTTCAAAGGGGCGTAATTACATTTGTAAACAATGGATTTAGCTGTCGATTTCTCATGGAAAAAAGCTCACTCATGAAAGTTAATGACACCACAGAGACACAGGCAGAAGAATGTTTCATCTACCAGCTAGCATTGCTAATTTGGAGGGGTGAGCATTTACTTGCGAGATATCGACGGCTAAAGCCAATGATTACAAAAGCAATTATGGCCCTTTGAAATGTTGACACTGATTTGAATGTGGGCCGGAAACGTCTGCCATAGAAAATTTAAAGCAGTACGGTGGTTCCAGTGGTAGTGATAGCTATTAGTCTTTAACGAGACAATTGCTCCTGTTGGCGCATACGCACGATCATTTCCAGTGTCTGCATGTACACGTTACACGTACAGTACACGTTGAACTTATTCAAGCCTCGCCCGTACGTGGACATCATGAGAAAATTGTTTTTTTCTCAAAAAGGACGATATGAGCTAGGATACGCAAGCAACATCAACAGTGAGGACCTTAAATACTGCAAACTGTTTTCCAAGAAACAACTCCAGCTGATCGCCAACGATATGTTCTCTACTGAAGCTAACGTACTCTGGTAAAGGTCTCCTCGTTGAATTGAAGTAGATAGGAAGGCCTCTCTGTTGGTAGTTGTCGTACCTGTTATTGGAAACATCATTTTTAGATGGTCTTCCGACCAAGCAACATGCATCGGAATGATAGTTATTTAAGGTAAACCGTTGTATGCATTCCTTTTATGTTAAAAAAATCTCATCATTTTACTCTATAGTTTTTCAATACCAAATTATCATATGTGTCACGAAAAGGTACAAATAGGGCAAGGCGTTGCAAGTTGATTAGTACATTATGTAATTTATTTGTTTGTAAATAGCAACAGAACTGATAATAATAGAGTTGGTTGGAAAATGCTAACATGGAGCTTTAGTGTGATAATTTATTAGCTAGAGAATGATGAAAGAGAAAAAAAAAATTGTCGCATTAATGGTCTTTCGCTCATTTTCAACTTCTATTCAATTTTCATACTGCCGTACTCTAACGGAACTATCCACCTACCCTCTTCTAAAGATCATTATCTAGCTAATAAAATATCACACTAAAGCTCCATGTTAGCATTTTCCAACCAACTCTGAAAATCGCTAACTTCGCGTATGAAGTAACATAAAAACACTTTGAATGATAATGATACCTAAAATTTTCCAAAAAAAAAGAGTTGTAATGTGCTTACGACGTTATCGAGGTATCATCCAAATAATTCAAAGATTAATTTTACCATTTGGGTAATCGTTTGGATCTTGTAATATGTTTACGATGTATTATTTGGATAACAGACTATAACTTTTGAAGAATTTCTTATACATATTGAAAATTCGAGCAGTGGGACAGATATGCGTCCATTTTTGCAATGGGACAAAACGACTTCACATTTTTTTTTAATTTTTCTAGAATAAACAGCGTGTTTTAATATAATATTTTAAAAATATGTATTGATTTATAATGTTAAACATCATCCTCAAAAAAGTCAAAATGTCACATGGGACAGTTATGCTTCCACCGGCAGATTCTGGTCTTAGAGTTGCCTCTATGGTATAAGCAAAAATAATCCACCAAATGGTTCAGAGCCTATATCGGATAGCCTGCACTCATAAAATAAATCAACAACCTACTAAAATATCCAGGTCCCCGTAGTTTATCGTAAGCATTTATCTGCGGTGCGGTTAGACCCTCGGTTAGACCCCGTAGAGTTCGTCGTGTTCGACCTACTGCGGTCAAACCCCGAAGATACCGTACAAATACAACCGTAGCCAAGTATCCATTTTAGAACCACCCAAACGTCCATATCAAGAGCGTTGGTTGGTGCCGCGAGTAAACTAGTCCGTGTACGTCGCCCTTTTGGATATGCCTTGAGCGGCGTGAACTCGTTATACAGTTCGCGAACGGCTCGGCAAACGGTACCGTGGGAGCACCCGTAGGAGGAGAGGCTAGTGAAGTGGTAAATGGTGAATCGACTGGGCAACCCACAGTCGAAATCGAGGGACGCAGGATGGAAGGAGAAAGTGAAGTTGAAGGTGTGGGGTACCCATCGACGACAGAAGACGAAGGAAGAACTAGTGAAGGCTATGGTAGGAGATAGCTGATAAGGAAGTGGGAAAGTTCCGGGAAATAAAAGATACCTGTGTGAAACTAAATAAAGTGGGAGCTCATCGGTGTTTGCAAAAAGTATTTGAGTGTTTTCTTGGCCGCGATAGTCACACGTGTATGCCGAACACAGCAACAAATAAATCTTAATATTACATCCAAGAGGATGCACTTCAATCATGTCGAAAATCTCATGTAATTTTTATGGCCACAAAAATAAACAAATGCAGTAAAAGCAGCGTAATGTCAGTTGATGCACTGTATTAATGATAATTTTGTCCTTTCTAGCTATTACTTGCCATATTTTTGACACGATTGTAGTGTACCTACATGCTTCCATCAAAATTTAACATAGACACATTAAGCAACGCTACTTCAGTGTCTGCTTAAGTCAGCATTTTGGCATAACCAGCAAGTATGGGAACGATTGCCTCCATCGTGTCTCACCGTAAATTGTTTAACTAAAAATGACTCCTCGTCAGCATGTTTCAAGTCAGGTAGCTGGTTACTATACATAGAAATGAAGACAGTACATTCTAACTCCAACATCGGTTGTGTCCAGTTGTACAAAGATATCACATCCACGTACAGTGAAGTTAACGGTGAAGTTTCATCTGGCGAGTCAGCGGCCCCCAAAAATATTAAAACCAGAGAAGATGCCACACGATTAAAGTGCATCCGCTTTGATGTTATTTTTTTTTTTGCTGTGAACCTGAGGCAGTGTAGAGGGGGGTCTTATTAGTGCTGGGTAGGGAGTGCCCAACCTGTTACAAGTTTTGGAAATCGGAGCCAATTCCAGGAGTAGCCATTTCCAGTGGAAGTCATGAGAAGCTCGGAAAAACCCTCCAATAGGCTGAGAATGGTTTATGGAGAAACTTACAGAGGAACACGAAAGAAACTTCTGGGAGAACTCGATAGATACATCCGGTAGAACTTGAACTGAACTTCCAGGAGATCCTTATTTAAGCATTCCACGAATAACAAAATGCCATTACTTCATTATGATGGCTACCAAGCTTTAAGGATTTTCCTTATTACAGAGTTGTATACATTTTTCTCCTTTACTTTATCTTTGGTTATTATTAGTTAGGCAGGTTCCGATTCTGCACGTTGCAGTTTCATTTTTAAACCTGTGATCTTGACATTTTTACCTAGGGGATGAGTAATCAAGGGAGGGGCGCATGAGTTTCGTGAAACATTAAAAAAGATTTTCAAACTGTAGGCTGGCCCATTCGAGAGACAAGAGTGTCTTAAATATCAAATCATTACATCCAACTGATAACAGAACTACGAGTGGTTCTTAGCCCGGCAGATATCCGGTCTGCTTCCCTTTGCAAGGCACACCTTTCACGGACTACTTTCACAACTCACCTTTCACGGACCGCCTGCGAGTGCGACTTGGACTTGGATGGCGTCCCATTCATGTGGGATATGATGGCTGAAGCGTCCAGGCTTTGAGATTTACGGTGATATGCTTGAGATTGTTTCGGTCCGTGTGACGCCGACGACGTCGAAGCGGGTGCCTCGTGAGACTGTTGCTGCTGGTGCTGTTGTTGCACCGGACCCGCAGCAGCGGACGAATGTTTCGATGAACTTTTGCCGAGAGCATCATTTTTTAGACTGAAGAAGGAATGAAACGATAGTTATGAAATAATTTCGAAATAAACTTTAAGCGGCACTTACCCATGCATTGAGGGTCGTTCTTTATGAGGCTTGACTCGTTGGGAACCATACATGTAAGGAACATTGTCGCGACCATGCGCTAGCAGTACGTCTACTGGGAGATTTTGAAGAAGTTGACTTGGGCAGGATCCAGACCTAAAATTTAAAAAAAAAACATATGAAAATTGTTTCGGAACCGAACAGAATTTTCCAAGAACCATACCTAACGTGCACTGGATTAATAATCTGCTGCAGATTGGATTTGGCGGCTGCAGAACCCGGACTGTCTTCGAACACCGGATTATCCATGGAGTACGCTGGATTAGTCGTTCCTCCGTTATTCGATGTCGGAGATTTCGATCGTTTGATGTTGGTCAACCGCTTCATCAAACTCACCGCCGACGAATCTTTCTTCTCCTTGATAGGCTGCACAGCAGCCTGAGAAGGTTCGCCTCCAGCCGCGGCAGCAGTGTTCCTATCCGAAGAGGCTCCCCCGGATTTCCTTCCAAACAGGGAATCGATATAATTCCCCGATTGATTCGGATGCTGCTGTTGCTGTTTGGTCCAGACGGGACCGGTAACGGCAGCGGCACCAGAAACGTTCGTAATCGTAGCGTCCCGTGGAGGTAAGGCAGGCAGTGTGATTTGGGTTGGGTTGTTGGACGGATTCTGGATACCGGTTGTGGGGGAAGCGGTGACCGCCGCTGATGGTCCCTGGGAGCTTGGATTCCTACTGGAGTGACCGCCTTCGCGACCCTTGAACACGGTGACGTAGTTACCGGGGAACACTCCGGACTTTTGCTGCCGACTAGCCCCCTTGAACCAACCATCCTGACAGCGTTCCGTGACGTAGTAGATTGCTGGAAGTTTTGAGAAAAGCGTTTGGTGAAAATAGTGCATTTATTGTGCGCGGTACTAAGCGAGCTTACATCCTTTTTTGAGCTCCAGCTCATCCGGTTTCTGTGGTTTGTACGGATAGAGAGCTACGTAGGTGGCAGGTAGTTGAGGATGCGGATGGTAATGTTGACTAGCAGCCTTGGCGGCGTTCGACTTCTGATAGTTAAGCATGTCGGATCGATTGGACTGTGGTGGATGATCGGAAGAAGAGTTCGCCGCCGTGGTCGGAGTATGTGTTGATGGCTGTTGTTGTCTCTCCGCGTCAGGAGTGTTGAGAATCTCGGCGGAATGGCTGGAAGGGAAATATTTAGTTCTAGTATATCTTGACTGGGTGTTGTAAGTAATTCCTACCGATTAGGTTGATGTAGCGATCCTCCGACGGTATTGCTACCAGCACTCGAACTAGCCACGAAGGTGGTTAGCGAGTGCCTTTTCTCCTTATGGTGTTCTTTACTTTTGGGTTGACTGCCGGCTGCTGCCGCAGCGGAGCCGGCAGAATTCGTTAGGAAGTGTGATGTAGGGCTACTTGGCGCAGTACTGGAGTTCGAACTGGTCGTACTGGTGGAAGTATTGGGACTGGTGGTCACGCTAGAACTGGTCGTATCACTGGCATTCAGATCGAAGGGAGTCGGGGGAACAGTTCGGTTGTTGGAAGCGCTGGCCAGAAGACTGAAATACAATAAAATAAATATTAATTGTTTCTCCAATAAGTAACACCTTGATTAACTCACTGTTTCAACGCTGAATCCATCATGTGCTTCGCGAGGCTGTTCATTTCGACAAAGGAAATAGGGAAAATTCCTATCTTATCGGCTATCCGCCCTTCGGCCCAGTTCTGGTCCACCCGTCGTAGCACGTGGATCAATGCTCCCTTTTTAAAGGTCAGGCAGCCTTCTTCTTCGTTCGGTCCCATGCTAAAGTCGTACAGCGCTTTGCACTGTGGATACGGAAGCGGCACTATTACCTGCAGGTGGTTCAACGGAACGGCTCCTTCCTTCCCGTTGACTTCGCCAACGCACCAATTGTGGTCGATTTTCTTCTTCAGGATGATGATGTCGCCCTTTTTAAAGCTGATGTCACTGCGTTGGATGGAATTATTTTTTAGTAAACGTCCTTAAACTACTGTGTCCATTAATTGGAAACTTTCACTGGCTTAGGGGTTATTCCATCTCAAGTGACCGAACAAATGCATCGACCCTCTCCTATTTGAACCAAAACTAAAAAGAATCCAAGGATTTTTGCCAATCGGCCAACCACCGGCTCTGGAGACTGCCCCCTAGGGCGGCCATAAATAACACTTTGTCTGGAGACCTGGGGGCACACCCTCCAAATGATAGCCAAGGATGAGCTTTTAGAAAAAAAGCGGATTTTTCATAGTCATAGCTAAACAAATTTTTAAAAGCATCGAAATTTGGTGAAACCCAACCCTTTTAAATGTGGTCTTTGCTATAAAAGAAACGTTTGCCAAGGACTTTTAGATGCTCTATTTTTTTTAATGAAACGCCAAAAAAAAAGTTATTCTTTTAAAAGTACTGGTCTTCACTATATAAAGGGCACCATTACGGAGCATTAGATTGGATCAAATTATTTGCAGTTCTATTTGTCCAACGCTACCAGCTGGGTGAGGGGTAGAGGATGACATACATTCACACACATCACTTCTCGACGGTGCCGAAATTACCGATATTTGGCACTCAAAGTAAGTGTGTACATTGTTTAATAAATAATCAATCAACTTCGGCGACCTTTGAAAAATTTCATTGGGAAAGTTGAAAATATTTCTAGACCAGCAGTTTAACCAGTGCTGGTGGGTGGGTCACGTCGATCAATGTCCATATGTTTTGGCATCCAGTTGTGAAGTTAGACTGGGTGTGAAGTATTGAAACGACAACGGACAATTGATAAAACCAAATGATATCCTCGAGTTCATCGAATTTGATGGATATTATTGAGTGAATATCCATCATATTGATATTGCTGGTGTTGCTCGAAAGCAAGAAGTAAATCATCTTTCTAGATTATGTTCGGAGCTGGGACTGTCGATGACAAATCGCAGTCACCTTCAGACTGCTTCGATGGATTTTAAATTAATAAACAGAACTCTCGTAGCCAGTGTCGTTTTTCGTAGAGCAATTTAAATTAGGAGCTACGAGAAAATTGTGTACATGCACTAAAACTGTGGGAACATGATCATGAGAACTATTTTGAAGTGATTTTTCGAAATTCAAAAAAAAAAAAAACTCCTCAGGTTCGGAATATAGAAGCTGAATAAACAGAAACAAAATGCATTGGCAAAAATACTACATATGGTTTAAATCGAAGACAACAAATCAAGAAGACTGGCAACTTTGCCAGAATCCAAGCGACAGATACAGTAGCGCTGCATTTGAGTGAAGGTGGAAGCAACGCATAGAAAAATGAACAAATACACAAACCCTTCTTCTGAGGATGTAATCTTTGCTATCAAATTCGTTCGAAGCATTTACCTTTGAGCGGCAGATGACGCGATTGTACCTGTCTCATAGCGTTTGTATGAGAAAATAGAAGAGTTGCCAGTCTTCTTGATTTGTTGTCTTCGTTTAAATTAAATACTCCCAACAATAGATTTTTGAAGAAACGAAATTCATTTAATTTTACTATATTTTCAATCAAAATTACTATGCAATTTGAGTAAGAATAGTAGTTTTGACAGAATGGTAGTAAATTTGATTATATTTATAGTCAACTATACTGAAATCATGGTAGATTTAACGGTATTAAGCGTAGTTATACTGAAAATAAGTGTTTTCTGCAAAATAGTATTCCTAGGGCTGTGAACCATTTGCCGAGTTAAATTTAACTGGAGGGTAAAAGTGACATTTCGAAAGTTATTTGCTATGTTCGAAAATCCCTGTGCTGTCGATCGACCGGTTTTCGAGAAGAACTTGGGCTCTGAACCATTTGGCGGATTTTTGAGTGACAGATAAAAGTTATCGATTAACCCTGCTATCTGAGCGTGGTTATTTCGGACAAACAAGAAGTTAAATTTTGACAACCGTGGCTGAGTTCTCCTCGAAAACCGATCGATCGGTAACACAGGGATTTTCGAACATAAGAAATAACTTCGAAATGTCACTTTTAACCACGAATTAAATTTAACTTGGCAAATGGTTCACAGCCTTAGCCAAGGTTGTCAAAATTTAACTTTTTGTCTGTCAGAAGTAACCACGCTCGGATAGCAGGGTTCATCGATAACTTTCCATCTGTCAAATTTTAACCAAAAGTTAAAATAATCCACCAAATGGTTCAGATCCTTAGGGTGTGAACCATTTGCTGAGTTAAACTTAGTCGTGGTGAAAAGTGACATTTCGAAAGATATTTTCTATGTTCGAAAATCCCTGTGCTGTCGCTCGACCGGTTTTCGAGCCACGGTTGTCAAAATTTAACTTCTTGTCTGTCAGAAATAACCATGCTAGGATAGCAGGGTTAATCGATAACTTTCCATCTGTCAAATTTTAACCAAAAGTTAAAATAATCCACCAAATGGTTCAGAGCCTAAATAAAGAAAAAAAAGCCATGCTCGGATAGCAGGGTTAATCAATAACTTTCCATCTGTCAAATTTTAACCAAAAATTTAAAAAAAAATCGCCAAATGGTTCAGAGCCTTAAGAGAAGGTATTTGTCAAAATTGATTCCTTGTCTGTCAGAAATAAGGGTTATTTGAAAATTGTCCTCCTGTCAAATTTAGGTGAAAATTCTCCAAATGGTACACAGCCTTTCTACTGACACTGACTACCGTAGCATGTTTACCGATTCCAAGCTTCCCGACGCAACTACCATCGCGTCAGCTGGGATCAGTTCCAACACTGTGTCGACTCCACTGTCGACTAAGGTGTCCTTCCGGAGACGCCCGAAGACGTTGACCGGTGTCGGTATTCCATCGAGGAGGCGATATTCCGGGCCAGGGAACAACACGTGCCAGTATCCAGACAGGTGAGCAATACTCTGAACCTTGACAGATCTACCAAAGACCTTATAAGACTCCGTAACACCATCCGAAGGCAGTACCTACGCTATGGTCTGCCTGTCCTTAAGACCCACTGTAATCACCTAACAAATACCATCCGAGCCGGAATGGTGGACCTCAGAAATCAGGACTATGCTAACAAGATCTGCTCTCTGCCAGATTGTGCAAAGCCCTTTTGGAAACTAACCAAAATTTTTAAAAATAAGCCAAGACCCATTCCACCACCGACCCCACTCGATCGTTACGGCGACCCAGCTGTTCATCTGATAACTCCTGAAGAGAAGGCTCCCGTGATAGGTCAACACTTCGTCAGCTCCCATAATCTCGGACAAAACATCGTCAGCCCTCATGAAGCGGAGGTTGCTGAAAACGCAACTAACCTCCATCAGATTCCCAATATTTTTTGCCGAGGAATCCGAGACTACGGCTGACGAACTGTTGGCCCATATCAAATCATCTAAAAACATGAAGGCCTCAGGCTTCGACAACATCCTGAATCTGGAACTCAAACACTTGAGTTCCAGATTCAACAACCATCTGGCACTGATTTTTAATCTGTGCCTCCTGCTCGTGCTTGAAGTCAGCTATAGTCATACCCAACCGGAAACCTGGGAAGGATCCGTCCTCTCCTTCAAGTTATCGACCAATCAGCCTTCTCTCAGGGTTATAAAAACTGTTCGAAAGAGCAGTCTACCACCGGCTACTAACATCTGCCGAAGAAAACAACTTGTTACTCGAGGAACAGTTTGGTTTTCGGAAAGGTCGTTCGACCGTTCACCAGCTGACTCGAGTAACAAACATTCTCAGACGGAACAAGTCTGTTTCGAAAACATCTGCCATGGCGTTGGACGTTGAAAAAGCATTCGACAATGTCTGGCATGATGGCCTGGTGTTCAAATTGCAGTACTACGGTCTTCCAATCTCAACAATTAACATCTATCTATCGAACATCTGAATGGCATCACATCAGATGCTTTCAACATCGGTGCTGGGGTTCTACAAGGAAGCATCCTTGGCCGGCTCTCCCTGATGTGGATCGTTGTCTCTGTTCGCAGATGACAGATCCATCGTCTACAAGGGTAGGGTCATCCGAGGGGGGCGACACATCTAAATCTCAAGTTTAGATGGTCAACAAATCTCACACTAGCGAATCAATCTTCGAACAATCTTCGAACAATCTTCTTTCATTTGTCGCATCTACTTGCACCGCTCATCAATTTTTTGCAGGAAATCTTCAGAATCGTCATAAATCTTCTTTCTATCTACTCAGCGTGCGCCCAGCTAGCCACAGCAAAACACAATCTTTTTTGCATCGTAGATAGAGTCGTCCCCCTCGGGGTCATCGGAGCTCTGACTGCCAAACTTCAGAGAGGCCTGGACGTCCGTCTGAATATTTCAACAGCTGGAAGATCCGTATCAACGCGGCAAAGACCCAGGTCATCATCTTTACATACTCAAAATCTCCCAGACTTGTTCCGTCGGTGCATAATAAGATCTGCCTGAACGGCACAGTGGTGGAATGGTCGGAAGCAGGGGTTGAAACAGTTGACGTTTTTTACGACAATCGCTTCTTTGTCGTGCGCGACAGTCTGTTTGTAATCGTACACTCATGCTCTACCGTCATCTCTCTTACACAACACAACCGGTAGAATAACATTCGAGCAAAAAGAAAATTATCAAATAACTATCATATGACATGAGTGATTTGGTTCTAATTCCCCAATTTGGTGTAAATTAAACCATTTATCATCAAAAATGTTATTCCTAGGACATCATTGCTTGCTATTTTCAGAATTCACACAAGCACAACATCAGCAGCTCTTATTATGAGAAAAACTAAAATACATACATTCGTGACGGTATTCGGCGACAGTGTCGTATGACAGAGCATGTTAAATGACATTTGAGTTTGGTACTGTACTATGATAGCTTGTTTTGTAAGTGTCGGAGGCAAAGACAGTCGATATCACAGAAAATATGTCGACTACCGTGACCGCTTACAAGACTGGTCGGAAGAGGTAGTCTACAAACACACTTCAAAAATACAATGTTAATTTCATTGCCTATTTTAATACGATTCCCATCACTTTCCTACCTTATACACTGCTTTACAAGCTGGTTCTATATCCCAACTATCAATTAAACGCGAAAAAAATCCGCGGCGGCAAGCTCAAAATCGCGAAAACTACGCAAACGAGCAACGTGAAAATACGGAAACGTCAATCGTTTCCCCCCGGCGCCGTACTATCACTTTCCTGTTGTGGTATTCTCAGTGCATTTGCCTGGCAATGCTAGGCTAGTTGTCTCTTTTATTCTCACACTCTTGAACGATGCAAAATGTATGACGTCATCATCATTGTCAAACGGTGAGAATGGTGGAAGGAGACAAAAAAAAACACACTACCAGTCCTGTTTTGCTGGCACAGTCTCAGACGGTGTGCGTGTTTACTTTCAGTTGGGCTGATTAACAAGGTTGCTAGCATTATTTCAAATTATTCAAAAAAAAAAACATCATTACAAAAATAAATGTGGCATGAGAACTTTGTCAACATTGCAATAAATATTAATTTCGAAGGTTTATAATACATAATAATGCATTCCTACTGCATACATGATTATATCGGGTAATAAGAGAAATAATGTCTCAATACTAAATTAACTTTTGGCAGCACTGACAGCTGACTAATGTATACAAAAATTGTGTGCAATTTGTGCGTGACTTCTGCGTATCCTGAGCGCGGCTTATCAAGCTTTTCAACCAGAGATAAAAATTCCGAATTTTTCGAAGGCAAAAAAGCAGTATGAGAAAGCGTGGCGATTTGTAATTCAAAACCGGAAAGCGATGACGATTTTGAAGAGATCTTGGATTTCCTAACGGTGATTTAGAATCAGATTCAGAATATTCGGTCAATAATGATGATAGTGATTATGAGTTCCATTATAAGCTCATAGATACAAATGAAGTCCGGAGGTTCGGAATCGACATTCAGACATACTTGGTTCCGGAAGTGTATGGAAGACTTTTAATGCTTGCCCAGGCAGTGAACTGCAGAGCTTCTCACTGGGGTTAATTGAAAATATGGATTTATTTAAGAATATGAAAATGGAAGGAAGTATTTTTGATTGTGATAAAATGACCGAGGAAACTGAAGAAATGATTCAGCACAGGCAAACACACATAACACATTGAATATTTCTCATTGTAAAACATCGTCGCTAAAACATTACCGCCATCTGTTGAGTACACTGTGGTGGGTAGTACACTGAACAGATGGCGGTAATGTGTAAACGTCAAACGCAAGGAAACGCGCCACAGGTGGCAGTACTACCAACTGAGATACTTTTAAATTGACTGTTAAATGCTTGATCGATGATCAACTTGTGAGTGTTATGTCTGTTTGTTTGTGGATTCAGCATGTGCATGATAATGCCAGAAATGAAAAGGATGAAGGTATGTTATAAATAATTCTTAATTATTGTTTTATTGAAGCTGATTTCCCTGTATAGCAAAATTTCAATTAAGGAAGAAACCATAACGAATGCCGTTTTCCAAAATAGTCTGTTTTCCTAAAAAAATGTTCCTGTCAAAACCCTAAATGAGAAAAAAAAAATCAGGAGTGTTGCTTTTCAAAATAAATTTATATTTTTTTTTCTCCATATTGTTCCGAAAGAATAAAGATTTCACAAATTCTAAGGTGGTACAAGTATTAGACCATTGTTTGGGAATATTGCAACCTCCGTCAACATGCTTATTTCTATTATTTAGGGGCCGTCCATTAATTACGTAAGACAATTTCAGTATTTTTCAACCCTCCTGATTTTTTTTCCTAACAAATCCGAGAAATAACAAAACAAATCCTAAAAATAAGAAAATCCTAGAGGACCTCTGACATGAATCAGTTTGTTTTGAATCTGAACTTAACGCATGCCATTACATTCTCAGATAATCTTATAGAATATCTTATAATTAAATTTAAATCTGCGAAATTACAATACCTCCCACCTTTTAGAAAATAAACACGAGTTTAGTATATGTATTAGTATCCTTGCACCATAACCAATACATAAGCTCAAATCGCTAAAGCATACTAATATATACAAAGGGTGAATCCAATCTGATTTGCACCTTAACACTAGACAGCAAGCTGATTTTTAGGGAGCACGTTGACAAAACCAAAACCAAGTGTAACAACTTGACAAGATCACTGTATCCACTCATCAACAGGAGGTCTACTCTATCCCTGAAAAATAAGCACGCTGTCTACAAACATCATCCCGCAATAGAATACGGGATCCCAATCTTGGAGAGTTGCGCCAAATGCCATCACCTTAAACTCCAAATGATCCAGAACATGATCCTTAGAATGGTCCTAAACAGTCCCCCGCGGACTAGAAATTCTGAGATCCACCGCCTGGCTGGAATTCAGACATTAGAAGAACGGAGAGTATTCATTCTGGAAAGGTTCAGAGACACCTGTCTGAGATCAAATCATCAGATCATACGTGATCTAGCACTATAGGTTAAGTTATACTTGTAGGTTTTCACTTTTTTTTCAATTCGAATTAAAAAAACACACCCCCAAAAGGGTATTCTGTAAACTAGTTTAAACAAAGATGAAGAGACAGGTAGCCTAATAAATTAAAATGTTAAATCAATGTACTACCATAATCAACAGAAGTAAACATAATTTTACTACTACTACTACCCTAGCATGTATAATCTCAGACGCCCTCGATACCCTTTTCAGTCAGACCTGAGCACGCCCCTAATCCGAAGAATGCCTTACCTAGTTTCACTGGAGGCGAAGTCGTAGAATGCTTTGGCGTGTGGGATTTTCGATAAATCCAGCCCATTTCCTCCTATGATTCGCCCCGTTGTTGCATGCTGACCTTGCTGCTGCTGCTGCTGCTGCTGCTGCTGGTGATGCAGTTGATCGTTTTTATTGTTCTTCTGCTGCTGCTGCTGCTGTTGCTGTTGCGATGAACCTTGATGTTGATAAGCTATGCTTGGGTGATTTTGTTGCTGCTGCAGTTGTAGGTTGAAGATGTTCCCGCTTCCACCTCCGACGCCGGTTCGAGCCGCTTTGTTTATGTTTGAGTTTTGATTGTTCAGCTCAGCTGTTTTCATACCTTTTTGTTTGTTTGGATGTTGTACATAAACGCGAAAAATAGATTATTAAGAAAAGATAAGCCAAACTCGTATGGGACGATAAGCATGCAATGCAGTGGGCAGCGTGTTCCACTGTGATTCACCGGACCAAAGGAAGATTTTCTGATTTGCTGACTTACCTTCTAAAATCCGCATCAGCAGTACGTTTGGCGGAAGCTCGTCGATTTTGATCTCCACCAGAACTCGGCACTCCGGGCATCGCAGCTCCTGATGGCTGGCCACAATTTCCTATGCGAGTGGAGATAAAAGCAACCAGTTAGTCATATGCCAATCTGACGCTAGTTAGTGGTGGTGGTGGTGGTGGTTTAGACGATTTATCGGCTGTTTGCACATGTGACGCGGGTTTTTCAAGTGGGTCATAATATAATGTTTTCCGCAAGGGCTCGTGTATCGCGAATCACACATAATGGGAGATAACGGTGAAATGTATGATATAACGACTTAATTATATGGTGCATACAAATGAGCCGTATAATATAATCGCCGTTGAAGTATGGATACATCTTGGTCAATCAAAAACTAGGTCAGGTTCATCGATAATATAATACAGATAAGGATTTTTCGGTGCTTCATTGATTCTTGTAAACAAACACAGAACTATCATTTTGATAAACAAATTACACGTCATTATTTACAGTCTCACGTTCATTTTTCGTCGTTCGTTGTGATGAAAATATTATGGAAACTTCAGTCAAACGAGATCGTTTCAAAATGTCATTCGTGCTTTGTGGCCTCACAACCGGATCTCGAATGTAGAGCGAAGGGCCATTTTTATGAGGTATGTCATTACAAAAGAGTGTGCGTTTGACTTGCTCATATACTGTCTGCGGCTGTGGAATAGTTCTAACGACGTTTATCTGGGTAGTGATAAACGTCGCAAGAACTATCCCACGTTGCCAAAAAATTCCTGGCGATGGTGTGTTATAATGCAGTTCTTCTTTACCCAACTATTGTTTTGCTTTTTAAAGATTTTCTCTTTAGAATCGTCTTTAAGAAGCTTATTCTAGGCGCTTACCCGTCACTACGCCTTAAAAGATCATTTGTCAGATGTTTAAAGAGCATATCATCGCTTTAATATTGTAAAAACCCATATTGATAGAACCTTTGTTACACCGTATAATCTCGTTTTTGATATTATCCATAGATATACGAGGCCTTAATGGATATTTTTTTATTTTTCTCTTAGTTTCTGCACTGCTCAATGGAACAGAAATTGCTAGTTTGAATTGGAGTTCAAATCATAATTCAATAATAAATTGATTTATGTCTTCACGTTTATTTCCTAACATGACAATAATTTGTGTAGTGCGAAGTGCATATAAATCACTTTCTTCTTCTTGGCTTAAAACTTGAGCTTTATGACTGTTTATACTTAATCTGCTTTATTGTGCTCTACATACTTTAAGCACAATCTTATTATATACAATCTTAAATTCGAAAAAAATGTGGCATCACTACCTGAAGCACCCCCAATACACTAAAAAAAAATGACACGTTCCATTCATGTGTTTTGGAATATGAAGACCATTCATTGCTTGTCACCATAGAATCATGTGCTTTTCCCTCGGATGTCATGAGATTTACACAAAAAAATAATATGTTTTTATTGCTTATGAAATCAATACTAACCACACATTGATTTCATGTGTTTACTTATCGTAATCCATGAGATCCTCATATAATTCTGCGCTACTGTTTTCCACTAGTGTATTTAACGTGTATGACACATGAATCGTACGGATCTCACTATAATGATGAGAAGAGTGCCTAAAGTGCCAAAACAAACATGGAAGGCACCAGCAACTTTGCGAGGAGAGTAAGTTTGTTAGTGGAGTTAGGTTTTCCTAACGAAATTATAGAAATTATTAACCGTGAGTACATTGTTTGTATGATAAGATATATTTATAACATTAATGCAATATTTTCATTACAGAACACGGCATTGATCCAACGAAAAACAGGATTAGAGCATCCAGGGCATAGGTTAAGCTATCTTCTACGATTAATATACTGTACAAACAATATGAAAATGTAAATTAATGTATCAAAATTGAAATGTATCGTGTTTATCATTTTTACATACTGAACCCCGTTCAATAATTATCTTTTAAGTAGACCGTAGTTCTGTATATTGAGTTTCAAGCGTATCAGATAACAATTTTTCTGTTTGTACGATACTATTGGAATACAGTATGCATGACTACGATTTGCTTAAATGAAATTTAGTTATCTATTTCAGAGCAACAAATCAACTTGGAATCCAATAGTTATACTATTAGATTGCTACAAGGTCTTTCATCAAATTCATGTGCATCGTGTTTAAATTTAGCATGTGTTGTAGAACATATTCATATGCAAAACATATCATGGTAATAAATCATGCACATGACTTTGACATTTAAATCACATGAAATTCATGTGTGTTGTAAGTGAATGGAGCATGGATAAGGTATGGCTGATTTCATAAGTTAGACATTTGAAATGAATGTGTTTGCCACATTACGCCAATTCAAATGTGAAACACATGAACGGCGCGTGTAGATTTTTTGAAGTGTACCTTCGCCAACGGGGCTGATCGGTAAGATAGTTTCCATATTTGTTTCACGATGTACCAGTTCTAATAGAGATTTTTAAAAATGAGGGTGATGTATATACCAAGATTTTAGGCGCCAGTTACACTATCCTCCTTGTGAATATATATATTGACATGTGTAACGTCCGCTTTAGATGTATAGATGTTTAGATGTATAGATGTTTAGATGTATGGGCAAAACAACGCAGGGTGCAAGCTATTTCTAAACAATCCAAATTTGAGTAGGATCTACTCATATCTACCAAAATTGAGTATACAAAGTTGGGACTGACAAGATGGCGAATGATCAACATCGACCTAAATCCGAATGTTAATTTGTTATCTTGTCAGTTACAGTTACAGGTACAGTCAGTCAGTCTACACTGTACACAAACATCATCCTCTGATCGAATGAAACCTTAGACCATTCAAAACAAAACACCGAAATCGCTTTTTCGAATGATATCTGCAACCGGATGACGGTTGTTTTGAAAGCAGATGATTTTCCTCTAGAATACAGGATGAAAATTGTTATGAGACGGGATAGGGCCTTCAGTTGAAATGCGTAATGCTCTCTGCAGAATGACTGTCATACTAAATGGAAATGCATATGGTATTGGTTCAGCCCCATAACGCAAATCATTCAAAACGATGATGTAAATAATTCTATCGAATGTTATTTGCTGATCTGAGCTGACAAACGAGGTGGAAGCATATGCATCGCTATCAGAGCAGTTACGAACATAGGTAAAGGATGAAAACCAATGTTTGGCTAATTCTAATAATACAAATTTTTTATCCATAATGGAATGGCTTATTCAGTATGGAAATGTAGATAATCAAATTATAAATCTAATTCAAAGCACTTGCATGTCACACTATTCTTAAATGTTTGTCCTCGGAGTGCCGTATGTTTTATAGCTAATTTTCAAACGAAAATCATCTTGTATTTGGATGACAGTCATATGGATGTTCATCATCTGACGACAAATTCAACCATAAGAAAATCATCCGAAATTCGAATGCATATTGTTAAAGGGCTCGAGCAATGCAATAATCATTCGAAGTATTGCGGATGTTTTGGTTCAGTGTAGTTTGCTCTATATTGTTTAGCCCTACTTCTAATGAAAATGAGTAGATCTTACTGAAATTTGATTGTTTAGAAAATTTCTAACGTGTGCAGAAAGGTGGAAAAACTCGCTTTACACGGCCAACGAGGTCAATCTAAATTTTATTTTACTTTACTCATAAATCGCAAAAAGTGCAGGAATTCAGAAAAAAAATTACTACATGTTTTTCCAGTTTTTTCTTGCTTTATCAAGGAAAAAACCAGGATATGATAACACTAATTATTGGATTTTCTCGGTCTATTGGTACTACTACTAGACTGTGTAAAACTTTCGTAAATTTTCCTCTTTTTCCAGCACATTATTGAGGTTTTTATTTGGGTTGATCTCATCGGCCGTGCACAAGGGAAGGGACAAAATCTGACTGGTCTTAAGGAGCTTTTCGACGTCTAATCGGCGCACACTACTGTTTCATTTAAATCCAACGAGTGCGGGCAAGAGGGAAACACATTAGTGGGAAAATACACCGTCGATTCATACATGTGTGATAGATAGAGAAAGACGATTAAGCGTCGAAAATACGCATGAAATACGTTGGGTAGGATGGTTCAAAACGCAACCCTGGGGTAAAATGGCCCCGTGCAGTTTTTCGTTGCTTTTCCATTGTCAATTCGTGAATTTAACAATCAGCATTGCTAGTTCAGTTAGTTGAACTAACATTCTGGAACATGATATTTCCAGAATTAGTAATGGGAATTTTACCCCAGGGGTGCATTATGGGCTGTTCTCCCCTACATTCCACGATTTTGCGTACGATTTCTTCTTCTGATAATAACGCCCAAACTAAACATAAAGCCTTCCTCTGATTTGAAAAAAAAAAAACGAGGTTGAACGACCTGCACGTATCAACCATATTGATCGGATGAAAAAAGCTTGCATAGATGAAACGCGTCCACAGACGCACATACAGACATCAGCAAATTTCATCTTGCCGGATCGATTTTTCATGTTCAATTTGATTTTACTATGTCGTAATCAAACTGTCGAGCCAGATCGAGCCGAGTTCTATCGATTGGGAATGTTTTATATAGGTGAAATAGCTTTTGTGGATGGCTATCGGTCACAGACGGCAAGACTTGTGAAAATCGATTCTAACGGGTGTTCAATAAAAAATGCGATTTTTTTCAGTCATATAGCTAGTAAAAAAAAATTTTTTTTTCAACGAATTCAAAAAAACGTCAATGAATATTGGAGAAGGGGCCCTGGTCAGCCATACGACGCAACTTAGTCGCGTCACAAGAGCGCTGGACGGCACTGACGTCCATCTTCCGGATCCTCGTGGTCAACTGCTTCGTATCCTTGGCCCGCCAATTATTTTTGTACACAAGGGCACTGAGGGAGCCGAAAAAATCCTCAATGGGACGGCACTGGGGCAAGTTGGTCGGGTTCCTTTCTTTCGGCACGTACGGTATCTTTTTCTGCTCAAGATACTCCAGCATCTTCTTGGCGTAATGGGAAGACCCCTTGTCCGGCCAGAAGACGTACTTCCCATCCACATGATGCTTTTTTAAGAACGGCAGAAAAATTTT